CATTGCTTCCAGTCTAGACAAGGGGGCTAAATTTGTTCGTTGTGCCTTCCTAGACTATACATCTGCTTTCGACTCGGTCCCTAGGGGTATCTTATAAAATAAACTTGCTGCAAGTCAAACAGAATTTCGGGCTGTTAACTGGTTACACTCCTATTTCTCAGAAAGAAAGCAGCACACCGTATATAAAGGGAAGTCTTCCACTTCATTGCCTACTGAAGCTGGTGTCCCTCAAGGCGCTGTTCTTTCTCCTTTTCTTTTTTCTTTCTTCTTGCATGACTTGCCTCACTCTGATGAAATAAACTTTGTGAAGTACGCTCAATTCATGGTTGTTTGCTCAAAATCAACTTCCCCAATTTTCGCGGAGGCATCAATACGACAGTCATCGTCTCATCGGTCGCTGTTCAGAAAGAAGTCAGCAGTAAACCATCAGAAGTAATATTGTGATTTATTATTGTAATATTTGTTCACAGAACTTAGTTGTAACAGTGTTTATATGTTGGTTTAACAACAAACAATACTCGAGTCGTCAATTGGTGCTTTGGTTTTTGCGTCCGTTATTACTAAGCGTTTCTGAGAAACTTCAAGGAACATCGTGAGCCCGAGTGCAGCAAGAGCTGGGCATTAACCGTTCGCTTTACTTGACTGACAGTTTGTTTGAGTAAGTATCGGTTCTTCTAATCCTCAGGCACTTTACCCTGTTTCCACACCTTCTCCACCAATGGCGTCATCAAGTCCGCTGTTGTCCCTGGGTCCATTTTCAATGCTTCTTCTGGGATTCCATCTGGTCCTGGTGCTTTCCTAGCTTTTAGCATCTTGATTGCATTCAGGACCTCTGATTTCGTCGGGGTGTCGATGTTCACTGGTTGTTCTGCTTCCGTTGTTCGTATTGTTGGGCGCGTCGTAGGTGGCTGTCGATTTAGAAGTCTTTTGAAGTGTTCAGCCCAGTGTTTTCTCTGTTCCACCTCTTTGGTGATTGACTTTCCATTGTCATCCCTTACTGGCTTAATCTGTGTCGAACTTTTGCCCGATAGGTGTCTAGTTGTTTGGTAGAGTGTTGCGAGGTCTCCTTTGCCTGCAGCTTGTTCTGCTTCGTTTGCCATGGTTTCATAATATTTTCTTTTGTCTTCCGTGGCACTCTTCTTCACTCTTTTGTTCAGTGTATTGTAGCTTGCATTCAGCTCCTGATTTTGTTGCTCGTCAGTGCACTGGATAATCTTTTGTTTCACTGTCCTCCTCTCTTCTGTTAGTTTCCAAATGTCCGTAGTGAGCCACTGTTTGTCCTGTTTCTTCTCTCTGCCTAGAACTTCCATGCAGGTTTGACTCCACACCGTTTTCACGTTGTCCCGGTGCTTTTCGACGCTGATCTTTTCGCTGGTGTTGATTTGTCTCGGCTTTGTCCTTTATGCCTGCAATAAAATAAAATTTTATCCATAGTGAAATGGAGACCGTATCTACTCTACCAACAGTTCCGCATAGTAACTGATCACAAGTCGCTAGATTTTTTGATGATGGCGAAAAGCCCACGTGGGAAATTGTCCAGGTGGATGTTGTGCCTGCGGAAGTATGACTTCATCATCTCACATGTCCCCAGCAACGGAACTTCTTTGGCAGATTTCTTATCTAGACCAGAAGATGAAGCTGGGTTTCGAAAGATTGCTTATGAGGTGGAAGGATTGTAAGAAGATCCATTAAGATTTGCTCGCCGTCTGAATTCGGAGCCTATTCTGAACACAGTGATACATGTGATCATTAACGGAACAGAAGTGTATCAACCTACGGCGAGTGAGGATCCGACTATGCTACTAAGACAGAGGGGTCGACTGAGAGTGAACGTTTATAGAACTCTGACTTGCAGAGGGATTTACGGAAGCTGGTTGGCGGTAATACCTCAGTCTCCAAGCTATGAGATGACGCAAGAACGTCGCCAGCCAGCACATACAGGAGTAGTCAGAACAACTGATCTCTTGAGATAAAGCGTGCACTGGCCAGATGTCAGAGAAGATGTGGCAAAATATGTGCTTGAATGTCCGCAGTGCTAGTTGATGAAGGGAGGTCGGTGCGTACGACCGCCTCTGTAGTCGATTTCATTCATGAAAGTAGGCAACGATACAATACAACAACATGCAATATAGCTCAGCACAGTTAGCTAAAGTGATATCCCAACCATAAACTCGCTGTATTGGAACAACTTGAACATGTAAATCCAAAATATATACAATTATAGATGTGTTTATGTTTAAAAATTTCACAGATCCAAATAGTTAGTAATAGGTATTATCTGTCAGTGAGATTTTATCCTCGGATTTAGTGTTCGAAAGGTAAATAATTGTAATAGTTTCCACAAACTCTTGGCATGAAATTTTACAGAAACGAGAGTTTTTATAAAATTAGGGAAATGTAGTGCGGTAGTCGAAAGCCCTCAGAGCAAAAAGAGTTACTTGATATGATTATGAGCAATAGTTTGTGCTCGAAACGTCAACACTGTGTGATTTATCAAAATAAAATCTTATCGATAATGGAGTTATACTGTACCACAGTGCCTAAGTCTTCTCACACCTGTCTACGAAAGCACAACAAAGGTGCTACACATCTGATAACCTACTCAATCTAAGATGCATGTTAAAAAATACTAACTGGGATTTATTCTATGAAAGTACATCAGATGACTCAATCACCAATATAATGGATTATCTTAAGTTCTGCCTCGACATATGCTGTTCCAAACAAACACTGTTCAAACGTCTCGACCGCTTCTCGTCTCCCCATCTCAAACAACTTCGCAGGCAAAAAGAAATGTTATATAAATGCAAAGACAAGTTAGGACTTAAAAAGATTAATGCTCAAATCAAATCTGAATTCAAAAATCTTAATGCTATCTATAACCAAACACTTTTATCATGCAAATCTCCTACCAGCATGTAGAAATTTTTCAATTAAATTACTGGCAATAGTAAGTGATGTAATGTTTTTCCCTCTTATGATGTTAATGCTCTTAATCTGTCTTTTATACGCTCTCCTTCTACTATAACCACTTCTAACGTTACTAATCTTGTAGCTGATAACTTCCAGGACTTTAACACTCTTGATGTTTTAAAATGTCTTAAAACTCTTAAGCCCTCACATAGTCTTGGCCCTGATGGCATACCTGCATATGTTCTAAAACAATGTGCAGATACTTTATGTTCTCCTCTAAGTAATATCCTAAATGCTTCTTTCTCCGAAAACGTTGTACCTGTTCCATGGAAAGACATTAAAATAGTCCCTGTCCCTAAACCTGGAAATAGCAGGAACGTAAAGTTCAGACCCATTGCCATTACTTCCCCGTTTCTAAAGCTCATGGAAAAACTAGTACTTCTTAAACTCGAACCCTCCCTTAAAAGCTTCGAAGACCCGAAACAATTTGCCTACAGACAGGGTAGGAGTACTTTAACACTGCAGCCATCTTACACAGCAGTATCGTCTCATCATTAGATAAAGGTGCCAAATATGTCCGCTGCACGTTTCTTGACTTCAGCTCTTTATTACACAAACTCAGTCCTGGGTCACTAACTGGTTGCATTCCTACTTTTCAAACAGAACGCAGTACACCGTATACAAAGGCAAATCCTCCTCTGTTGTGCTCACTGAAGCTGCTGTCCCCCAAGGTGCTGTACTCTCCCCACTTCTCTTTTTCTTCTTTCTACATGACCTACCATCTTCAAATGACATTAACTTCGTCAAATATGCTGATGACCTGACTGTATCTTTGCCTGTCAAGTGTCAAAGTGAGTGCTATAAACTAAATGGCTTCTTATCAGAAATCAGTCAGTGGTCCAATGAAAACGGTCTCACCTTAAACCCCTCCAAATGCCAAACAGTTAATTTCACCTTTAAGCACAAATCTGACCTAAACAAACTGGTTAGGACTCACGAGATGTGCAACATAGATGGCACTGAAATTGAAACCAAGTCGGAAATTAAATACCTAGGCGTCACTCTATCTTCTGATCTTTCCTGGTCGGCTCATATCTTGAGGATTTCTAAGAAAATATTCCGTCTTACCACCTTCTACATCAAGAAGTTAAGACTTTCTGGTGTAACCCAACCCTTACTCCTACAATTTGTTAACTCCCGTATTCTGCCTATTATTCTCTATTGTTCCCCCCTAGTTTTTCCTGGGCTATTGAAGAAAGACTATACCTTATTACGTAGGATGTTAAAGGTTGTCAGCAGGGTAAGCAGTTTGCCACTTAGCCAGCTCGTTAATATTCTGGTGGACAAGCGCATGGACTCATGTGAAAAATGGGCGAAATCCATTTTATCTAACACACAACACCCTCTACATTTACAACTCTCCCCTTGTATCTCTCCAGGGAAAACCAGAAGCCTATATAACAAACTATATGCCTGCACTAGTAAGTACAAAAACTCATCCATACCCTACCTAGCTCGTGTTCTGTGTATGATAAAGAAAGCATTAGGCGTGAAACCTATAACTTATTAAATAGTCAGTAGAACAAATGGATCTCGTCTTTCCAACTCACATCATTTACAGGTACAACGTTTTTCTCTCTACCTTTTTTTTCTTTGTGTATTTATTTTTGTTATGTGCCGTTTTGTTTCTCTCCTCCTTGCAAACTCTACTTAAGACATTCTTGTTTCGTTTTTTCACACTCTGTATATCTCGACCATTTTGCTATCGCTTACGCCAGTAAATATGCTAGTAGTACCTACTTTTCCAACTTTATTTATTGTTAATGTACTAACTGGATGATATTGTAGTAAAAATGCTGAGAATTCCATTCTGTATCAGAAGTACTGATTTGGAATAAAGCTATTATCTTATCTTACTTTATGAAAAATCCAGTGTGTTTTGTTTTCTAGCCACTACTCAGTCGTAGGGATAACAATGTTATATAAAACTGCAGTCAAGGCACGATAAGAGCTTATTACAACCCAACTGACGAGAATTCAGTTGTTGGGGTTTCAATAGTTTTGTTTGAATGTTCAATTTTTCGTACAAAGCTGATTTGTTTGTCTGTGCACTCCCGCCTTTCGGTTAGTTGACAAGCATGCAGCGTTTAACGTTGAGGCGAAGGCTGTCGTATAACACCAACTCCAACAAGAGGAAGAAGTAAGTTCCATATATGTTGTTGTGGTACTTCTGTGTTTCACACTGCAATTAACCCTCTTCGAAGAGCAGTTTGATGGACATCATCTCCCTGCTCTAAAGTGTCATGAGGGTAAAATCCACAGCCATATACTGACCGAGCTCCGGCACGGTAATCATTTGGCTTACACATGCTCGGTGACAACTGGATTGTTTTGTGAGCCGTTTCACATTCAATTATATTTCACTCAACAATTTCTACCAATGTTACGGGTGAGATTGGTCACTGCACGCGTAACACCTGCTTTAGAACTTAGTGGTTTCGTTGCTGTGCACAGTAAATTGTTTTAGCCTGTTTTTGATAAGTAGTCCATGTTTGTAAATAATTCCTCCCACCCATTGCTTGAGATGTGTCAAGCTAGTTAGTGGAGGTACAGTAAATGGATAATGACTGTATACCGCCGTATAGTGGTACAGCAGTCATATTCAACAGAAAAAAATATTAGCTAGGCTGGAATTAGTTTTATTTTGTGCTAGGTTGGGGCAATACTAGTCTCAAGTAATGTTCTTTTTCTCGGTTCTCTCTGTTTTCAGAGTCAAAACTCCTGGAGGAAAAGTTGTCTACATTTATGTAAAAAAGCGAGGGACATTTCCTAAATGCGGCGACTGCAAAATCAAACTTTTTGGTATTAAGCCTTCAAGGCCTAGAGAGAGGACTTCAATGAGCAAACGATTGAAGACTGTCAATCGGCCTTATGGGGGATCACGTTGCCATACCTGTGTTCGCAATCGGTAAGTTGTCACTCATCTTAACCTTCTGATAGTGTAATACGTGCATTCATGATGGAGGAGCAAAAAGTGCTCAAACAACTCGTCAAGGAGCAGAAGAGAAGAGAAAAGAAAGCGCATCCTGTAGAACACAAGAAAAAATAAAGAATTGATTATGTGAGGGTACCGAATGCTTCCTATTTTGTTTTGAACCTCAGTGTATTATTCTGGTGAGCGCGAGCGTATCGTTGTGTCTTCGTATTATTGTCGTCATGTAGGATGCAATTGTCATAAGTCGACGTCAGTTATGGGAAGTTTGTACTTGCGTCCCGATAAACGTGGAGAATGTAATCGAATATGTCAGTGATGTGTGACATTCTCCACTTAGGTAATGACGTATTTCTAGGTATTGCTTAACTTATGTGAATAATTACTCCTTTGTATATGCATCTAGACAAAGTGTGGGTGTAATGTCATCGTTGGTGAATACATAATCTCTGTCGGGTTGCCTGGTGTGGTTGCATATTTGTCTGATGTTGTGCAATTTGGAAGCAGTGTTATGTGCCATTTGAAGGTGTTGTTGAACACTGCAGTCGATGCGAATTTGGTTATGCGTGTTAATATTTGGATGTGAAGTGTCATGCGACTTCCTTTCCGGTCAGCAACCAGACGGTTTAGTCACGAAAGCAGTTAGTCCGTTTTTGATACAACTGAGGTGAATGAGAGTCGTTTGGGATACACGTTTCTGAGGTCGTTGCACGCAGTAAATTGGCGTACCAACGAGGGCTGAATTCTTGGGTGTTGAGTTACCAACCGGAAAGTGTAGACATGGAAGGTCATTCAGACACGTAGTCTGAAGAAGTTTTAACAATTTTGTGATTCAAATTCGTTCCACTAGATGAGTGATTTTGCGTCGCTGTCTGCAGCACCAGCACCTATAGTGATAACAGCTCATCGAATGCAGTGAATGTTCTTGACGAACTATTGCAATCGGTCGGATCGCAGATGATGTGGTAATGCCACTGTGAACATATATTGGTTTGGAGTTTGTAGGGGATGGACTGGTCCGTGCCGAGTGTCATCTCGTTTTCTGTGATTATATACAAATCAGATTGCAGGTAGTTTCGGGAAGGCTGATACCATAAAATTACAGAAGGATGAAGGGGTCGATTTTCTTTGCTAATTATGTAGTAACTTATTTGCTTCACGTCTAACAGTATCTCAATCAGATAAAATACGATATTGTAGAATTTTTGTAGTTAGTGGTGCGAGTATATAACTTGTTATATTTGACTTCTCGTCCTACCTGATGAGATGAATAAAAGGGGTTTCACAGTACGGCCTTTTCCCATTTCGTACAGGGTTTTATATGCCTCTTGACTATAATATTGACAAGCTGACGCAATGGCATACCACAAACCCTAATCACAGCATTTAATACTCTTCGTAATAAGACATAGTCATTTTAGAGAAGCCTAGGTAAGATTAATGGAGAGCATTAGAGTACAATAGGTAAAATACAAGAGTTTACAAACTACGGTAATAAAGGTTGGTTGATACCTGATTTCTTAACTTTTTAATGTAGAAGGTTGTAGACGAAACATTTTCTTGGAGAGATTTATAAGATGTGCGATGACCATGAAAGGTCAGAGAGGAAAGAACTAATCCAAGGTATTTAATGCTGTTTGTCTTGGTTTCAATCTCAGTGCCATCTATGTGTGCTACAGGCATCATGTCTAACTGGCCATCTAATTTTCGGTATCTGCGGAAAGGTTCTATTGATGAAAATGTGCGATTTTTTGGAGGTGCACCAAGTTCTCTAAATCAAACTGAAGAACTGGGTTCATATTACTGTATTGAAAATGGGGATCTTGTTCTTAGTCCTAAGTACAGTGTGGAATCAAGCGGTAATCAAAAATAAAAAAGTAGTGCAGTAGAACCTCACAGTGATTGATTTTAGAGTAGTTGAAACGAGAGGCTGCCTAAATTAATAAAAGAAGTAACTTCCTCCTCCTGTTTAGTGGTGATTAGTGCTTGTTGTAGCACTTTAGGTAGTTTATCACCTCTGTCTAACCTGTATGTATGTGTTCAAGTGTGAAGTCCCATCTTCACCTCCTCTTCTGCCAACTTGCCGGTTGTAGCATCTGTAAGTTAAAATTTTTGGTGACACGACATAAATCATCTGCGAAGTCTACATATATATATATATCAGTGTTTTATCCCGTCTTTTCCTCCTCCATGATCCAGTTAGTCCACCACGATCCGGAAAGATTATTAGTGGTAGTAGACAACTTTGTCTTGCACACATACACACCTCACTTTAGACGCTTCTCTGAGCTTTCGTTCGTGAATCGTGAGTTTGATTAAGGTTTCAGGTACCCTTAAGTATTGAGGCAGTCAGAGATTACTTCATGGTGGACTGACTGTACAATGTTTTTCCAAAGTCGATGAGGTCAAGGTGATTTGTTCCCGGAGACGATTTGCTTTTCCTGAATGATCCAGCTGATTCTAGGCGGTGTTTTGTGTATCCAGAGCATGTTTCAGTATCTCTTGGATGACACTGCCTATTATTTGGTGGTTGTAGTGCACAGGAGGATGATGATTCGACACTAGTCGACCCCATTTTTTTCGCATTTTGACTAGTTAACTATTCTTTCAATTGACAGGTACCTCTCCTCCCGTCTGTCTGTCTGTTTTCGAAGTAGAACTTTGCACCGATGTGCACCAGTTCAAGTCGTCACACTCCACTCCTTGTAACACACATAGCAAGAGAAGAAAGTAAAAATGAAATGCATAATAGAGACAGTACACAGAGGTGTGAGACAAAGGAGTGTAGTAGTAACGAACGAAGAACAATATACTTTCATTGGAAATCATAATTCACAAGGAGTGGATGCACCTGCGCCAGCCGACCATTGAGAACGATTTTGATCCATATTAGCTATTGTTTCCAGCCTTCATTGGTTTAACCGTCTTGAGGACTCCAATCCGGAAGTCCACACCTTCCTACATGACTTAGACTAACTGTTGTGGATTTCATCGACTGGTGAAGCCATGTTTTGGTTTCACCACCACTGGCTAACTCTTTTCCAGACTGACCAATCCTATGTCAGCTAACATTGCCCATTGTCGAAGAAGGCGATGACTAGGGCGCGCATGCATAACACATGTCCTAACCGTCTCAATCGGTGTAATTTCACAGCCTCATCGATTGATTTCCCCTCCCACCTACCTAGCACTCGACAGATGCCTAACCTCAATATTGCTCACCTTATTATACCACTTCACACGGGCAGGCACGTATGATCGAAGACAGATAAGCTAGCTTTCCCCCATTTACAAACTCTTCAGATGTGCAGTGGGCGTATCTGCTCAGATCACTGGTTGTGTTTTCAGTGTTTTTTTTTTGAGTATTCTCGTTGCTTTTCTCGATTGGCTTTCAGTCACTTTGAGGTATTGAGGACTTCTGCTTTGTCGTTATGACCTAGAAATGGTATGATTTTGTTGGGTTTTTTATTTATATTTATTTTTATTATTTTTTCCTATTAACTATCAATATTTTAACATTTTATATATTTATATAATTATAAACAGAGCTAAACCATTGCAATATGTAAAAGAAACGCTGAAAATTCCATGCTGTAAATTGTTATTGTTGTGGAATAAAGTGATTATTATTATTATTATTATTATTATCTCCTCAGGTAGAACAAGGAGTAACTTCAGAAAACTGTATGCTCGCACGTCTAAGTATAAAAATTCTATGATACCATACTTGGCACGTATTTTATGTGATAGTGAAAATAGTGTCAGGCAAGAATTAACTAACCTTTTTTCATCTAGTAAATAAACAATTTCTTCCATCCATCCATCCTTATATACCTTCAAGTTTTACTTTTATTATTTCTATTATATTTATGTTCCTGTTACTTCTCTATTTTTTTAACTCTCAGAATTGCAAACACCAACTTATCTCCATGACGGCTGTAATCTTTGTTATTCCCCTCAGCATATCATGTAAAGGGAACGTTATATTCAATATTTTTAAACATGTTAGGATTTCTATACCACATTGACAATACTGTGTGGCACAAGCCAACGGCAATTTTCACTTGTATTCTTATTATTATTACCCTAGCTGTTATCATTATTATTGCTATTTCCATTTTATATGATGCATGTTTTTGACACTACCTCTATTGTAAATGTGGAAATTTTTCTGTGTGATTAATTTTATTTATAGTTTGAGTAAATTAGATGCAATATTGTGATTAATGCTGAAAATTTCATTCTGTATCACAAGTACTGTTTTTGGAGTAAAGTAAATCATTATTATTATTATTATGTTATTGTGTGTTAATGCATGTAGTCCAATGTAGTCCTGAGCTTTTTTCTTACTTAGTTAACTTCTTTGGGTCAACCATTCTTCCCTTAGCTAAATTCTTATGTTCTGATAATCTGACTATCCCTGACCTACTAGTTTGACCTATGTAAGTGGTTGACTTAACTCACAGTTATTGCAGGATATTTTGTAAATTATATTATTTTGTCTAATTAGGTCAACTGACAGGGTCGTACAAAGCTTGTCCTACCTGAGTGAGTTTGTAAGCTTGTATGCCACCAGCCTAATTCCTGCTTTATTAAAAATCCTACTTAGGGAGTGTCCGAGATATCCCTTCTCTCCTTATATGGTATAACTGTAGATGACTTATATTCTCTCTTATATCTGTTATCACTTCAAGTTTGACAACTATTTTTATTTTGCTTTTGGCACTTTTCGGTATTCCTAATGAATTTTATAGGATTTTTTTATCATTTTTTTATATTTTTGATTACAGCTTGATTCCGTACTGTATTTTTCGTACAAGTATGGAATTTTCAGCATGGATATTGGTAGCCCAAATTTTTCAGGCCGACCATAGATATCAAGCGTGCGTAGGGAGGGTATTGCCAATAATGTGTGACACAAGCAGTCAATGCAGTTGAAGATTGAACGATCAATTCTTGGTTGTTTGCTCAAAATCAACTTCCCCAATTTTCGTGGAGGCATCAATACGACAGTCGTCGTCTCATCGGTCGCTGTTCAGAAAGAAGTCAGGAGACAACCATCAGAAATCCTAGTAAAAACATTATTTTTATATGTTGGTGTAACAATAAAGAATTCTCGAGTGGCCAATCGGTCTTTTGGTTTTTTCGTCCGTTATTACTAAGCGTTTCTGAAAACTGCAAGGAACAGCGTGGGCCCGAGCGTAGCGAGAGCTGGGCATTAACGGTTTATGAGACGCGACTGACAGTTTCTGACAGTGGAAACAGATCTGGCGGATTCAAACAGTTGGTGAAAGTTTGGATAGTCACCGTTCATCTTCCCTGGTGCCGGTCAAGTCCTCTTTGAACAAGCAATATCTGGAACGTTTTTGGAATTGGGTCAAGTTCAACAATGCCTGGGTCAAAGAAGGGACAGAGCGTCTTGGATGCAAACAGGAAAGTAAGTCATGGTGACTTGTCTGTTAATTGTAACGATGTGTCTGATGTTAAGCATGACATGGTTGATGTTACTGTTTCGCCGTTCAGGGATAATAGGAACATCAAACTCCCTAAATTTGAACCACGGTGTTTTGATGGAAACCCAGGTGATTATTTACAATTTGTAAAGGAGTTTGAGATCATGCTGAGTAGTTTTCTATTAAGTGATGAATTGAAGTTGATGTATTTGATGAGATATTGCACTGGAGATGCTGCAAGAGCTATACAGTGCTGTAAGTTTATGAAGCCAAAAGAGGGCTACTACGAGGCTATGAGCATATTACGTCAAAGGTTTGGAAGACCTTCGATGATTGCAGGGAAATTATTCGAGGCTGTTAAGGGTAATGGTGGTCAATTACAGGATGACTCCCAGGCACTCACTGAGTTTTTAGATAATTTGCTAATTTACAAGAATGCAATGATTTCGATGAATCGCATGAGTGACCTCAACTCGAGTTTTATACTAGAAGTAATAGCAAGACGTCTACCTACTCGACTGCAAAGGAAGTGGGTGAAGATAAGCTCCCGTATGGAGGATGAGGGTATCGAGCCAAAGTTTGATGATATCCTGAAACTGGTAAAAGATAGTGTCAATCAATCTATGAGCAAGTTTGCCAGTCTATTATATCTCACCCCTAGAATAGAGCAGTCTGAGAGCAAAATGCAATCATTGATGACGAATAGGCCTCAGAGAGGTGGATATCGAGAAGGCTCCATGATGTATAGTAATGCATATAGACCTAGTGAGTGTAACAGGTTTCGTAGTACATCCTCAACAGATAAGTTGCAAGATGCAAGACAAACACGGTTGTGTTTTACACGTGTGCAAGAGGTGCATACAGAAGTGAACTGTGAACCAGTGAGCAAGTTCAGTGATAAGCTAAATGTAAACTCCAGGCCTGACTCCGAATTGTGTGACGATAACGGTGCGGTGAAGAAGTCTGTAGTTGCAACTGGTAAGCCGTTGTTGAATAGAGTGTCACAGAATAGAGTTACTGCTTCAGAGTGCAGTTCTGACTCCACAAGTTTACAAAGTATAACTAGTCAGAGTGAAGATATAAAACCTTTAATGATTTGTGAGGAGGAACCAAAATTGTCTACTTCTGTTATTAAAGAGTTTGAAAATGATGAACTTGACGGTAAATTGAATATTTGTGATAATGATCATGATAGTGCAGATTTGTCTTTGGTTGATCATGATGAGATGAGGGATATGCCTACTACTGCTAAGTTAAATAAAGGTTCTGTACAACTACAACGTGAAGTAGAATTGAACGCAGATGCAGTTCCAGAAGATGTGCATACTTGTGAGACAGTCAGTGTAATTGATCAGCATGTAGCCCACCTATCATCAGATGATAGTGCTAAACCCGAACTAGTAGTGAAAGACAGCAGTGGTGGTAATCTTGCAGTTGGACAACTATCTGAAAGCCGAACAAGAACAGCTTCTGATCCACTGCTAAGTTCATCACCTTGTGTCACTCAGTCATCGTTGGTGTTTTCATCCACAATGAAACAGACACCCATCAACTCAAGTATCTTCTGCAATGACTATGATAGTATTGGTGCGTTTGAAAAGACGAAAGATATTGCTCAGTTTAGTGAGAATAAGCCAAGTGTAAACGAGAGAGTAATTGTTAAATTGACTTGCATGAATAAAGGCATTTCTAGTTTCAAGTTACTAATTGAATGCTATTATCTTTGGTGTAAATTACTCTGTTTCTACACTTGGTTGATGAGATATGCCGTGTGTTTGTTCGTCATCTATATTCTACGATACAATGACATGGGCGTGTTGCCGTTCAGATTTGAGGATTTAGCTCATAGAAGGAAGTTAGCAAATGAACTCTGCGACGATTTTCCAACCTAGAGCGTCAACCTGAGAAGGGTTGTAGGCGTACTGCTGTAAGTCCTACAATTCTTCAAAGGGTAGCGCATCAATGAGCAGTCCAATGTGCTTGGTGTGTGATTTTGTACATATGTTCATATTGTATATACTGAATTGATATCATCTGTCATCTAGCTGTTGGTAATTCTGTTTGTGTCCGGACGACTTCCACTTGGATCATCAACCTGAGAAGGAATGTAGGCGTACTGCTGTAAGTCCTACAGTTCTTCAAGGGTAGTTTGTAGTGCCGGAATCCACAACATTTGATGTAGTGATTGTACATATGTTTGTGTTAAATAGTTGTGTGAGTTCCAATTATTGTAATTGTTGGTTAATCTTGTTTGTGTCCGGACATTCCACAACTTACAATCGTCAACGTGAGAAGGGTTGTAGGCGTACTGGTGTAAGTCCTGCAATTCTTCAAAGGAATTCCACCAAGACATGATCGGCGAGGTTGTTTGTACTATTTGTATATACGTGTGGTGTGTCATAGCAATTGGTGTATTTTGGATTCATTGTGTTTACTTGTTGTTTTCGTACCTTGTTGTTATTGCGTAATTTTGTTAAAATTTTCGTCGTGATTACTTCTGAAGTTGTTTCGAGTCTTCTACATCCGTGAATGAATTGATTGATGTTAGAGACAGCAGATGGGTCGTATACGCCGGGGAGGCTAGGCTATTGCTGAGAATGAAATGCACACGGAGATAATTGTTAGCTGCGGTCCGACACGCCGGGGAGAAAGAGTGTAAACGACTGAGGCTCGCATGCGTCACCGCTACTAGAACTGAGGCAGAATGAGTGACAAGCGATTTCAGTGGTAATTGGTAGTGAGTAGATAAGAGGATGTGCGTAGAGTATCATGAGTTGGTGCTATGGTCACGTTGCATTCTGCAAGAGTCATTCTAGTAAGTGGCGATTGTGTTGCAAGATGTCAAGAGGAGGTCTCTGTCTGGAGGCGCAGGTCGTCATTGATGTGTGAGATTGTGCTGTGGGTATGCTTGTGGTGTGTTGGCTTTTCTGTTTGTTTTCCATTTCAGCTCTGTCCGTGTGACCCAGGTTCTCGCAATGGCATCCAAGTCAACGTGTATTGGTCGTGAAGGAAAAAAGGGTTGGATCCGTTTTTTGCCGTGGAGTGTCAATGGAGTTGAAGATTGAACGATCAATTCTTGGTTGTTTGCTTAAAATCAACTTCCCCAATTTTCGCGGAGGCATCAATACGACAGTCATCGTCTCATCGGTCGCTGTTCAGAAAGAAGTCAGGAGACAACCATCAGAAATCCTAGTAAAAACATTATTTTTATATGTTGGTGTAACAATAAAGAATTCTCGAGTGGCCAATCGGTCTTTTGGTTTTTTCGTCCGTTATTACTAAGCGTTTCTGAAAACTGCAAGGAACAGCGTGGGCCCGAGCGTAGCGAGAGCTGGGCATTAACGGTTTGTGATACGTGGTTGACACAAGCCAACGGCAATTTTCACTTGTATTCTTATTATTATTACCCTAGCTGTTTTCATTATTATTGTTATTTCCATTTTTTATGCTGCATGTTTTTGACACTACCTCTATTGTAAATGTGGAAATTTTTCTGTGTGATTAATTTTATTTATAGTTTGAGTAAATTAGATGCAATATTGTGATTAATGCTGAAAATTTCATTCTGTATCACAAGTACTGTTTTTGGAGTAAAGTAAATCATTATTATTA